AGACTATGAACTCTGGGACATAGTCACTGATGGTCCCCTAGCAACCACAAAGAAGAATGCTGAAGGAGTTGATGTGCCAAAGACAAGGGCTGACTGTACTGCTGAAGACCTGAGGAAGTGGGAGAAAAATGCTAAGGCCAAGAAATAGCTTGTGTGTGGACTAGGTCCAGATGAGTACAGTAGGATCCAAAGCTGTACTAGTGCTAAGGAGATATGGGACACCTTGCAAGTGGTCCATGAAGGAACACCTCAAGTGAAAAGATCAAGAGGAACACTGTTGTATTCTCAATATGAGAATTTTACTATGAAGGAAGGAGAAACTATCCGGGAGATGTATACTAGGTTCACTACACTGACAAATGAACTTAAGTCTCTTGGAAGGGTTATTCTTGAAGAAGACAAGGTTGAGAAAATTCTGACAAGGGTTCTGCCAGTCACATGGGAAAGCAAAATCACTGCTATTCAGGAATCCAAAAATATTGCTACTCTCAGACTGGATGAACTGATTGAAATCTGACTGCTTATGAAATGAGAAGGCAAACCATGAAGATGGATACCCCCAAGAAGGAGAGAAGCTTAGCTCTCAGAATTGCTGAAGGTTCAGATCTGGAAGATGATGAGATGGCTATGATCACTAGAGATTTCAAAAAGTACCTGATGAGAGAAAAGGGTTCTTCAAGAGGTACAACCTTCAACAAGACAAGAGCTCCTGAGAAACAGACCAATGAGGGTTGCTACAAGTGTGGTAAGACTGATCACATGATCAAGAACTGCCCTCAATGGGAAATTGAGTGGAAGAAAGAAAGAGCTGAACGAAGGAACAGGAAGAAGGAACAGGTTCAACCAAAAAGAAACAAAGGTTCAACCAAGGCTATGGTTGCTGCTTGGGGAGAAACCTCAGATGAAGACTCAGAAGATGAAGCTGAAGAAGAGCAAGCACTGATGGCTATCGGAGAATCAGATGATGAACAAGAGGTAAGTATTTTTCATCTCAAAGACAAGATCAAGTTCTTGTCTAAAGAAAAGTTAGCTGAGCTATTACTAGACTTCATTGATGAGTCTGAAATAATTAACAATGAGAAGGAAGTTCTGTCTAGGGAATGTGTGATCCTAAAAGCAAAATGCAAAAGTATAGAGTCTAGGGCAAATGAGAGTGACAAAAATGCTAAGTTGAAGAACCAGGTTCTTGAACTTGACAACAGTGTCCTAGAACTTAGGTATGAAAGCTTAAAACTGAAATTAGGAACAGGAAAGAAGAAAGCTGATCACGCATACCTCACTCTAGAAGAAAATTTGGGAAAAATGAAAGATTAATTGTATAAGAAAGATGAATTCATCAAAGTCTTAAAGGAAGATCTAGGAAAGGTAAAACATGAACTAGACAGAACTTGCAAGTGGAACAAGGCTTCTGATGCACTCTCTTGGTTGCAAGAGCATCACAGTAGCAACAAGAGAGGACTTGGCTATGGGACTCAAGCACCAAAATGGGACCCTAAAAGAAAGTACCTCACACTTCCTGAAAACAAAATATGCACACACTGTGGCAAGATTGGTCATTACAAAAATGAATGTAATGCAAAAGTAAAGGCCAGTCAAAAGAACAAAGCCTTTGTTCAAGAAAAAGGTAAGCTGAGTGGATGGTCAAGAAGGAATTTGATTCACCCTTTTGCTTATAGAAAGGGACCCAAACTAGTTTGGGTTCCTAAGACTAACCCCTGATTTCCTTTTGCAGGTCCAAGTGAAAGGGATGAGCCAAATATGGTATATGGATAGTGGCTGCTCAAAACATATGACTGGGGACAAGTACCAATTCCTTTCACTTGAGGACTTAAAAGGAGGTAATGTCTCCTTTGGTAATGGAAAGAAATGTGAGATCATTGGGGTTGGAAAGGTAGGCAAAACAGATTCTCATTCCATAGAGAATGTCTACCTGATAGATGTCTTGAAATATAGCCTAATAAGTGTGTCACAATTGTTGACAGAGGTAACCTTGTGGCTTTTACCTCCACCAAATGCTTTGTGATTAACCTTATCACTGACAAGATTGTTTTGCAGGGAAAAAGAGTTAACAATATTTACATTGTAGATTTGTCCACTCTTTCAGAAAATGAACTCACTTTTTTAAGTGTGTTGGTTAATGATCCCCTTCTATGGCACAAAAGACTTGGTCATGCAAGTTTAAATCAGCTCAACAAATTAGTCTCTAAAGACTTGGTGATAGGGCTACCTAATATCAAGTTCAAGGAAGATAAAGTTTGTGAGGCATGTGCAAGGGGGAAGCAGGTAAGGTCATCCTTCAAAAGCAAAAAAATGGTAAGTACAACCAAGTCGTTGGAACTGGTCCATATGGATCTATGTGGTCCAATGAGAACCATGAGCAGAGGTGGAAAGAAATATATAATGGTGCTAGTTGATGATTATTCTAGATTTACCTGGGTTCTATTTCTAACTTCCAAAGATGAAGCATTTGACATGTTCTCTGCATTTGTTAGAAAAACTCAGAAATAATTAGGAAATCAACTTGACTCCATTAGGTCTGGTCATGGAACTGAATTTGAAAATTCCAAGTTTGCTGAGTTCTGTGATGAAAATGGTATAGATCATAACATCTATGCCCCTAGGACCCCTCAACAAAATGGAGTAGTTGAAAGAAAGAATAGAACTCTTGAGGATATGGCTAGAACCATGCTACTTTCTAGTAAATTGCCTCACAGCTTCTGGGCAGAGGCTGTGAACACTGCATGTTACATAATAAATAAGATGCATGACCAGACCTCTGGTAGAGAAGACTCCCTATGAGTTACTTAAAGGGAGAAAACCAAACATATCCCATCTTAGGGCATTTGGTTGCAAGTGCTATGTGCACAATAATAGAAAAGAGTCCCTAGGAAAGTTTGATCCCAGAAGTGATGAGGGAGTATTCTTGGGATATTCTTCACATAGCAAAGCATATAAAGTGTTTAATAAAAGAACTTTGTAGAAGAAAGTGTGCATGTAGTATTTGATGAAAATAACATTCTTTCGGAGAGACAGGAGCATGAAGATGAAGCCATTGGATTGGTAAAAGACTTGACTGAAGCATCAGCTCAGGTCCACTACTACAAAAAGGGCATTTGGCGGTAATTATTTAGCGGCAATAAGTCAATTGCCGCTAATATATTCTATAAGCTGAAATATATGCAGCAAATGACCATTAGCCACTAAAAAATAACCTTTTATCGGCGATAAAAATTAATTGCCATTAGAAATTAAAAATAACCTTTTATGCTGCAAACTTTCAGCGCGCATAGGGTTTTTCTTAATTTTTTTTTAAATTTCCCTCCCTGCCCAAATAATTAATCTTTCCCTCTATAGATCGAAAATTCCCTCCAATCAGAAAATCATCCGAAACCTATTCCTTCATCGACTCGAATCAAAAGATTAGGAAAACATATTCCTTCATTGAACTGGATAAGGAAGAAAAACATATTCCTTCGTTGAACTGGATACGGACGAGACTCTGTTATCAAAATCGCACATATATATAGGTCGCCGGCCAGCCTTTTTCCCAGATAACTATAATTCTTTCCGAGGTATCTTCTCTTTTTACCCAGCCGATGCGATTAACAGTTGAGTTTTGGATTGTTGTTTCAGAACTCATTCTTCTCCTTCAATTTCTTGTATTTATTGGCAAATCAATCTGCTTATCAGGTACGAATTTGTGCCTTCAACTGTTGGGATTTGCATTGAACCAGGTACGAATTTGTGCCTCCTCTGTCCCTTGACTGTTTTTCTGATTTTGTTCCTCTGGTTTATGCTATTCTTGTGATTATTCAGAAATTTCTAAGTGTCGTCGATGCATTGAATCTACCACTAGTCGAGATGTTGTGTGCAATTTTCATTGTCGTCGATGCATTGTGGTGTCAAATCTTTATATTTTCTTACCTTGACGTCTCTGTGGAATACACCTCTACTATGACAGTAGTCAACTGCATTTTTTCCTTTGTATATTTTCTGTTATTCTTGTCATTGTTCAAAAATTTTCATTGTTGTCGATGCATATCATTTTCAAATCCTCCGTAGTCAATACACTGATATTTCTTGTTATTTAGAGATTAGTTACTGTTGTCTATCGTCCATTTGTTTCTTTGTTACGAGTTCAAAGACATGGCTGGTAATTCTTTGAGTTTTTTTCCATCTTAGATTTCCTTTCTTGAGCTTCTCCCAAATATTGTTTCAGCTACCAAATTGAATAGGGATGCTAAATAGTTAATTTCTCTCTTCTTGATCTCTCCTTTTCAGCTTGTTCGCAGAAAAGTATATAGGTCTGTTTGATTTAGATTATTTCAAGATAACTGATTCAATCACTTCATTAAGTCTGTGGTTTATACAAGAAAATTAGTACTACTAGTATTTTTTATGCTACTAATACCAAAGTGTTTGTACTTGAAAAGCATTGATTATTTTAATTAATTATCAATCAATCAGTCAAAAAAATTTATAAGACTAACCAAACAGGAAAAATATACCAGGTATCTTTGAGTTGTAATGGAATGAATTTGCACATGGTAGGGCAGATTTCATAATATGCTGGACTGGTTGATGCTACATTGTATTTCATAATAGGCTTCCACTCAGGGGCGGAGCTATCTTTCTCCAGAGGGAGTTAATTGACACCTCTTGGCTGGAAAATTACACCATTTACATAGTTCAACTTGTTTTAAATAAATTTTCGTTTAATAGTTTTAATTATTAAAATGATATTTTTGATCCATGGAATAACCTGCTAATAGGATGATTATTTTATTTTAACTACATTTTTCATTAATTCCACCTTTTTACTAACGCATTTTTAGCTCTTTCAGTAATTATAGAAAAGAAAAGACTATCTTGAACGTCATGGATAATGCTACAAATAAAAGATGGATGTATTGTGAAAGAGTTAGTAAAGAATATTTAGATGGAGTAGAGGATGTTTTATATCATGCCTTTTCTGAAAAACAAGATGGAGAAAAAATTGCATGTCCTTGTACGGAGTGTGTGCTTATCCATCAAGTAATCGGGCTACAGCATATGATCATCTTGTGGTTAATGGTATTATACCATCCTATGATACTTGGTTTTGTCATGGTGAGTCTCTAAAGGGATCAAACAATGCTGAAGCAAATAATCGCAGTCAGTCAACTCAAAGGGGCGATGATATGAGAGGAATGATACATGATGCATTTGCAGGTGTTACACAGTTCATGGATACTGACGTTAGTGAATTAGGTGGCATAGAGCATAACTTACAAGAAAATACTGCACATCCATCTGGAAATCAACCACATCGAGAGGTGGATGTGGTTCCATCAAATGTCCTTTTTGATGCTTGGACTATTGAAGGATGCGCTGCCTGAAGGAGAAAAATTGCCTCCTTCTTTCTATGAGACCAAAAAGATAGTTGAAGGCTTGGGCTTAAAGTATGAGAAAATTCATGCTTGTCCCAATAATTGCATGCTTTTTAGGAAAGAGTTTGCTAATAAGAATGTCAATAAATGCAATGTTTGTGGAGCTTCTAGATGGAAAAATGATGCTAGAAAAATCCCAGCCAAGGTCCTAAGGTATTTTCCTTTAAAACCAAGGCTACAAAGACTGTTTATGTCTTCGGAAACTTCTAAAGCAATGCATTGGCATCAAGAAGAGTGCAACAAAGATGGAGTTCTACGACATCCTGCAGATTCTGAATCTTGGAAAAAATTTGATAGTAAATATCCCGAATTTGCTGGAGACCCTCGTAATGTGCGCCTAGGACTAGCTTCTGATGGGTTCAATCCATTTGGCACAATGCGAACTGTTCATAGTACATGGCCAGTGATTTTAATGCCATATAATCTTCCTCCATGGATGTGCATGAAACAAGAGTTCTTCATTCTGTCCTTACTTATTCCTGGACCCAAAGCGCCTGGCAATAATATCGATGTATTTTTGCAACCTCTAATAGAAGAGTTAAATGAATTATGGGATGTTGGGGTAGAAACATACGATGCCTCTACTAAGGAGATCTTTCAAATGCGAGCAGCTCTCATGTGGACTATAAATGACTTTCCTGCATATGGTACTCTCTCTGGATGGTGCACTTATGGTCAGTTTGCATGCCCTTCTTGTAACATAAACACTCAATCTAGAAGGCTGAAACATGGAAGAAAGTTTTGTTACATGGGGCATCAACGCTTCTTGAAGTCGGGACACAAATATCGGAATGATGCGAAATTATTTGATGGGACTAAAGAAACAAGACCTGCACCTTCTCCAGTATCTAGGTCAGTAGTGCTGAATCAAGTTAAAGATATAAAATTTACTCTCGGCCAGTCAAGTGAAGGGGTAAGTGGGGTGATGAAAAATACATGGAAAAAGAGAAGTATTTTTTTCGATCTTCCTTATTGGAAATTTAACTTGGTGCACCATAATCTTGATGTGATGCACATAGAAAAGAATGTGTGCGATAACTTAATTTATACACTATTGAATCTTGGTAAAAAGTCTAAAGACAACTTAGAAGCTCGATTGGACTTGAAGGAGATGAAAATAAGACCAAGCTTATGGCCTCAATATCGAGCTAGTGGGAGAGCATATCTTCCTACTACTTTTTTCACAATGTCTCAGCAGGAAAAGGACTTATTTTATGAAGTACTACAAAATGCCAAGTTTCGAGATGGCTATGCGTCTAATATTTCACGTTGCGTTCGCAAACGAAAGTTATCTGGGCTAAAAACTCACGATTGTCATGTTATAATGCAAGAACTTCTTCCTCTTGCCTTGCGGAGATCAGTAGATAAAAGAGTAAGTTCAATTTTAATTGAACTATGCACATTCTTTCGTGTTTTGTGTAGCAAAGAGCTAAAACTAGAAGAG